CCCCCCTTGGGAGGTCAGAGCAATCTCTGCCTCCCCACCATCTCAACACCCAGTTTCCAAGCATCTGCCTTCAGCTACCCCTCCCACAGCCTTTGTTCAGTTTCCCGGGCCACGGTGTCACCTGGGCTCTCATGTTACACGCCCAGGTATTCGCCTTCGGGCAGACTATCCTAGCCCCACTCCCCTGTCAGCATTCACAGACCACAGTAAGAACAGTCCCAGTTCGTCACAGGGACCAGGTTAATTGATAAGGGGGGTTGCACTGATAGGCTTTGCTGTGTGAAAGGGGTCACCAGTACGACCCTCAGGGCTAACCCAAGCGAAGCAGGAAGCAGGTGCTCTGAGCTGGTGCTGCTGTTGTCTCTTGGCAGCTGGGGCCTGATCCCCACTGCCCTGCAGCAGCCCCAGTGTGGAGTGGACAGGACCTGCTGCCTGCTGGGGTGGGGGCACCTCACCCACTCTGCACCGGTGCTGATGGCTGCATGAGCAGCAGGGTCATGGGGCTGCCAAGCTGCCTGGAGAGGCTCACGAACGTGTGTGCCAACGTCAGGGCAGACTGTACAAACCAGGGCACAAACCCCAAACAGGCTATGTGCTCTGTAAAGATTTCACCAAGTAACAAGCGTGAACTCCTAAAGCACCATAACAGCCTTACCATGGAGTCACAGACAGTCCTTGGCTGCACCTGACTCTAGCTTGCCACCCAGGCAAGCCGGCCTTTGTGACAGATGGGCCCTTACACCAAGAATCACAGCAGTATTCAGGTTACTCCCTCACCCAACGGACTAGTCACTTACCCCCGGTCAATTGTACCTCAGATCTCAAACCACAGACAATGCTTGTAGCCATCCTGTGATACTAACTAAAGATTTATTAAGTAGGGAAAAGAAGTGAGAGTTATTCACTAGGTGAAAGCAGGTAACAGACGCACACAAGTGAGGTACAGTCAGGTTCCAAAAGGCAGGAGAAGCTGCTGTAATGTGCAAGTTCTAGACCAGGGTTCTCAAACTGGGGGCCGTGAACCCTCAAGGGGTTGCAAGCTTATTACCTGGGGGGTTGGAAGCTGTCAGCCTCCACCACAAGCCCCGTGTCACCTCCAGCATTTATAATAGTTTGAAATATAAGAAATGTTTTGAATTGATAAGGGGGGTGCACTGATAGGCTTGCTGTGTGAACGGGGTCACCAATACAAACGTTTGAGAACTGCTGCTCTATGCGACCTTCAGGACTAACCCAAGCTAAGTTGCTTGTGGATCCCTTGCTTATGCTTCGAAATCTTGCCCTCCCTGAATGCCAACCCCGGCAGT